GAGGGGGCAGGCTGGGCTGAAGGCCCCCCCCCCCCCCAATGCACGAATTTCATGCACTGGGCCTCTAGTATGCATATAAATTCTTCAGTTAACCTCCACCTGCTGCCCCCTCCCCTTCCCTCTGAGAATCCTCAGTTTGTTACATGCTTATGGCCATGTTACCCTCCACACATGGACTATTAGACTTTAATTAGCTTGGATACTAAGCTACTCCCAACTGTAACATGGAAAGTGAGCTCCAGATACAGGCCTGCTCCTGGAACCCCAGCTACACCTTTTCTAGGACTGGCTTCTCCCAGTAAACTTTGGTTCTATTAATCGTTTTTGTCCACAACTTCATTCTTCAATTTCGTAAGACATTGAACCAGACTCAAACACCCACATTTTTTGTTTCAGTGGGGAAAGAAAAGAGGGACATCTGTAATACTCTCTTTTTTAAATGACTCAATTTATTTTTTATGTTTTTATTGATTGTAGAGAGGAAGGGAGAGGGAGAAACATCAATGTGAGAGAGAAACATTGAACAGCTGCATAGGACCAAGCCCACAACCCAGGCATGTGCCCTGATTGGGAATCTAACTGGTGTCCTTTTGATGCATGGGATGATGCTCAACTAACTGAGCCACACTAGCCACAGTCTCATTTTATAAAAATATATATTTTTTTATTGATTTCAGAGAGGGAGGGAGAGAAAGAAACATCAATGATGAGAGAATCATTGATTGGCTGTCTCCTGCACACACCCCCATGGGGATTGAGCCCACAACCCTGGCATATGCTCTAACCAGGAATTGAAATGTGACCTGGTTAATAGGTTGAAGCTCAATCACTGAGCAATGCTGGTCTGGCCAGGTCCTCATTCTTGAAAAGGTAAACTTCTTTCCTACAAGATAAAGACTTATTATCATGGCGTACAATATCCTTCATGATCTAGCTCAACTTCAGCTGTACATCATATCTGCCCTAGGCACCACAGGCATACAAGTAACTTCTGATTCCTCAAATACAGTATGTTTTTTGATACTTTTGTGCTGTTGCACCTGTTGGTATTTTTATGTCATTTATTTTCTTTGTAGAGTTAAATAACATGCCTAAGGCCCTACTGCTAGTAAGTTAGGCAAGCCTGGGACTACAAATCTCTTTGACCCCCAAAGCCTGTTATGCTTCTAGCCACTAGGTACGCTCATTTCCTCCCAGGAAACGTAAAGAATGTGGTAACAATCTCTTCCTCCTGGCCTCAACTATTTACTTTTACTCTGGTATTTTAAGTGTGTTTTTTTTTAATAGAAAAATCATTCTCACACCCTCGTTATACAGACAGAAAGCATGGGTAATTATATGGCCCTAGGAGATTCAGGAGATTCTGGGATAAATCTAAGTGGTGGGCCCAAGAAGATGATGGCTGCATAGGCAACTGAGGGAGAGGGTCAAAGCCGCGTGCCACTGGGGGCGGGTTTCTGTGGGGAGCCCAATAGCCAATCCCCATTGTGCTCGCGCACTGGCCCACGGGAGGCCCCTCCCCAGCCTGCGGTGTCCCTGACAACGGCAGCGATGTCCACCAGGAGCTCCAGTGAACTTGTGAAGGTGTGACTCCCTAATGTAGAAAGACCAGAATCAAAGCAGTACTGTACATTCCAGGTTCTCAGTATTGCCCTTGAAAATGGACTTCACGGTTTTTATAGCAATAGCAGCAGGAGTTATAGCCACACTTGCTGCTGCTGCTGTTGTAGCATTGATAGTAGTAAAAAGCATAAATTCTTTTAAGAAGTGGACAAATAATGACAATACGAGCACTGGAGAATTTGGTGAAACCGTCAATTTCAAGATTGAAACAAGTAGGAAACAGGATGAAGAATCGATCGAGAAGGAACAGAAAATATCCGAAGAATTAGTAGAAGAGGAACAGAGAACATCCCTAGAATTGGGTGAGAAGGGCCAGGAATCATATGAAGAATTGGGCAAGAAGGAACAGGAACCCCATAAAGACTTGAACCAGAAGGCACAGGACAGCCAAGCTCCGTAAGTGTAAACTATGACTTGGTTAATTTCAGAAGGACAGACAGCAGATGCTGATCACGGGAGAGGGACACAGGGCTGGGCCACACCAGGCTGCTATCCTGCCCCCTACAGGGCAGGTGCTGGAGGGAAGCCCTGGCTTGCCGGGTGTAGTGGTGGCGGACACACAGAAGTCACTTTTCTGAAAAACCGGTTTTTGGCGGCAAGGGTTAGTGGAGGGGACTGCATCTTTAGAATGGGGCGAAGGAAGGTACATGGAGGGAAGGTTGTCAGTGTGCTGGTTTCTTGACCGTTTCGTTTGGGGTATTTCAAGCCCTGGTAAGGAGAAAGAAAACACACACACACACACCAAGATCTATCTGTTGAGTCGGCTTTCACAAAGGCATTGAAGTGAAAAGGCCGCTTTCCCCCTGTCGGCGGCGCCCTTGGGAGAGGCGGCCGCGCTGCACAATGGGCGCGACCTC